TGTTATTTTTTTCCGCCTGTTGAGTAGTTTTTTTGCTGTACTGAATTTAGGTTAGCTTTGCTACGGTTTGCATTGGGCGACTGGCTGTGACTTTTTTTGCAGGTGAGATTGTTCTTGCAGAGAGAGAACAACGTTGTTCAAACAATCAAGCCCCGTAATTTTTGTTTCTGAAATAATTTCCAGCTTTCCTTATTAACAGGTTGAAAAAAAGGAAGTTATTATTCAGGGAATTTTAAAGCCAAAAAAAAAAAAAAATTGAAAAAGAACTCAACAAAAGTTATTAATTTTTTGTCGAAGTGATATTTCAAATATTCATATTATTAGCTTTTAAGTTTTTAGAGCTAGTTTAAAACTAAATCTATTTCCAATTTCCTCAATTTTGATATATCTTCATACCTAATCTATTATTTGGTTTAATTGCAAATTAAGTGCTAGATAATTAGGGTTCCAGCAATAACTATTTATAGACTAAGCAAAGCAAAATGTCAACCGCCTTAAAAATAAAAAAAGGGGGCTCTAGAGATGAGATATCTGAAAAGTCACATAACAATAGCTCAGCAAACCTCTCTAAGAATGACAACAATGCCATGGATACTGACGATATAGATGAAGAAGATGAATCAGGTCAAAACATCATTTTAAATATTATCTCCCAATTGAGACCTGGTTCCGACTTATCAAGAATTACATTACCAACGTTCATTCTTGAAAAAAAATCTATGTTAGAAAGAATCACAAATCAATTACAATTCCCTGATGTGTTACTAGCAGCTCATGATGAAAAAGACCCACTAGAAAGATTTGTGAAAGTTTGTGCTTGGTATCTCGCTGGTTGGCACATTGCTCCAAAAGCCGTCAAGAAACCATTGAATCCAGTTCTGGGTGAACACTTTACTGCTTATTGGAATTTACCAAATAAACAGCAGGCATTTTATATTTCTGAACAAACCAGCCATCATCCACCTGAATCAGCCTATTTCTACATGATTCCCGAATCTAATATTAGAGTTGATGGTGTGTGTATTCCAAAATCTAGATTTTTGGGTAATTCGTCTGCTGCAATGATGGAAGGTTTAACTCAGTTACAATTTTTGGATATCAAAGATTCCAAGGGTAACCCTGAAAGATATACATTATCTCAACCAAATGTTTATGCTAGAGGTATTTTATTCGGTAAAATGAGAGTTGAATTAGGCGATCATATGATTATTAAAGGTCCAACCTATCAAGCTGATATTGAGTTTAAAACAAAGGGGTTTATTTCAGGTACTTATGATGCAATTGAAGGTGTTATCAAAGATTATTCAGGCAAGTCCATCTGTGAGATTTCAGGTAAATGGAATGATATCATGTATATTAAATATCTAAAAGAAAAGCATTCAAAGAAGACAGTATTATTTGACACCCACAAAAGTTCACCACTAAAACCTTTAGTACGTCCATTAAATGAACAAGGTGATTATGAATCAAGAAGACTATGGAAGAAGGTCACTGATGCTCTTGCTCAACGTGATCATAAGGTAGCAACAGAAGAAAAGTATCAAATTGAAAATTACCAGAGAGAACTAGCTAAGAAGCGTGTCGAAGATGGTGTCGAATTTCATCCTAAATTATTCAGAAAGTCCAAACCTGGTGAAGATGTAGATTGGATGATCTTCAAACACATACCTGAAAATGCTAGCCATGAAGACCAGATTAGAAATATTTTGGAGCTTGTTCCAATTTTACCTGGTCAACAATTTACTGAAAAGTTTTCCATTCCAGCTTATAAGAAACATGAAATACAAAAAAAGGAACATAATGTGTGAATATGTAATCTAGACTGAATAACTGTTGTTAAAATTCATGGGGACTAGAATGCAATATTGAGGTATGTATAAATATTTAACTATCATTTATATAGGAACCATCAAGTTTAGGGGTAAACTATAACGACTCAATAACTATATCAATCTTTTTTATTATTAGCTTTTATATTTCGTTTCAAACTGTTTATAGCTCTTTTTTTGGAACCCAAGTGGAGGAAGAGGTTATCCATTATTGCGTCTCCTAATAAAGCATTTGGAATGATAGGATGTAACCTAACTAAATTTATAACACCATGCTTTTCTTCAAATTCTTTTAATTCCTTTTCCCATTTTGTAATGATGCTTAAAGACGATATATATTTATAATTTTCGAATATTGTTATTAAGCATAAGAATGGCGGCCAATCTTTCAACTGGACTTTATCGATAAAATTTATCAGTTCATCGAGAAAGGTTTCAACGTTACATATAATAGGAAAATGTTTTTTGAGTTGGCCACTTGGCTTAATACTATGCATTGATAAAATTCGTTCATATTCTTCATAATTGGTTTGGTTTTGTAACTGATTTTGACATATATAGTATGATAAAGCACTCCATGAAGAGCAATCACTAACGTTAGCAAAACAATATTCTTTGGCATTTAAATAAAGATTTGATTTCACTTCTTTCTCACAAATGTCAAAGAACCAGCGACTTGCATTCCAACAGTAATAATTCGAGATATGTCTTCTTCCTGAATACAAAATCGTTTGGGATATGTTGAAGGAATCCATATTATCAGTTTTTAAAATAGAATAAAGTTTTTTATAATAGCTCCATAATGATGAAGATTTATTTAATTTATTATTGGATGCAGTAAGGAGCCTTTCGATGAGAATAATTTCGTTTTGTACAATATGCGATAATTGGAATGAATTATTTTCCAGTTCATCCCAAAATATTTCCTCATGAATATTCAGTATAGTTTTATTCTCCGGAGTTGTTAAAAGAAGACCAATTGTGGCATAAAAGATGCCAATAGGTTTAGGATTCTTATGCCAATTTTCGCTATCTCTAAGGTAATGATGAGCTTCTTTGAATATCTTGAAAAAGGTGGATTTAAAACAGATAATTTCTACGCCAGTTGGATCAGCTGCAATATAATAATTAGTATCAATTCCTTGTTGGTTAGGAGCAATTGTTAACTTTGTAGATTTTTCATTATTTGCAACTAATATTTCATAGAATTCTTTGCATAATATCAGTTCATTAGAATCTGGTAATACCATAGGAAAAAAATTCAAACACTAGATAAATATATAGATGAACCGAGAATCAATATTTCGATACCTTGACAATTACAAATTTACAAATTAAACGTCATACAGGTCCATTAGCCAGCTCTTATTTAGCAATTGAAATAAGAAGTAGTCGCTATATGGACTTTTAACCTTAAGTGATGTAGTTAGCCTTATTACTCTAGTACATCAGATCACTAGCAACGAAAATATGAAATGCTTTAAACATACTGATATTTCTTTCCATTTGGTCTACAATAATATGATGGATGACAGTCATACTTATAAATGCTCATCACCATATCTTAAAATCTACTATACCTGCATTTAATATATATCAATATCTCATGATGAAGGTCCTATCTTTCCATTCAAGATTATTCCCTCTCCCACTGAGGTCAAATACACGACATTGAGCCAAATTTCCAATTAGCAACACCAACATGCACGTAAAAGGAGCATGTATATATAAACTTATATTACAAGCAATATTTATTTCCATTAAACTGTTCACTCGAATGTCAATTGAAAAAAAATTATTTCAACTCATCAATCCTGTTTCTATTTCTATCTCTATTTCTTATCACTGGATTAAAATTAACACTAGCATCGCCGATCACAAATTTCATCCCCATTTGACATTTATGTTTACTAAGGATCGATTAAGGTAAGGTGTAACTTAAATTATGGATGCTATTTCATTGATATGGAAGATAGCAAATAAGTTCACTCAAATTTGCTGAATTGGATGAAGACTGTTCCTATTTTTAAAAATAAATCATTTGCAGTGTTGGTCGTTTTAAAATAAAAGAAAACTATCGATTTAAATTATCCCAAGATTCCAAAGGAGATTATACAAATAATGTATTTTAATAAGTGAGTTATCATCCTCTTCACTTCACCTATTTACTTGTTTGTGATGCTGTTATTTAGGCAGGGTTTACAATCTAACAGAGGCTTAAGCTATGTTATATCCATATATACATATCTTTTGTGTATATGTATGTGTATATGTGTGTGGTTTTCATTCTGCTGATCAGATTGAATCCTTTTTATCTTAAAATTAGCCGCTGTCACATGGCTTGCTTTGACAAAAAAATATTGAAAGTTACCCTACGTTAGAATTTTACCCTTTAAAATGACGTTAATATAAATCACATGGTACGAATTTACAAGAACAAAGAGAAAGGGAATGACAAATCAAGCCCTTTGTTCTTTAACTATAACAGATGGGTAAGACATTTTTAACAATGCTAAGGAATTACCAGACCGTATTTCTGCTAAATCAGTAACTACCACAACAATTGTTACAACATTAGCAGTGCTATCATATACCAGTTTCTACTATATCAAGGTATTAAAGAGCCATAGCAGAACTCACATTAACAAAGAGCAACTGCATACTAGATAAATTAGATAGATACCATAAGGAATGCAGAATCAACAGGAAGAGATATCTAGTACACAAACCACTACTATAGAGGTGCTTCCTCCTGTGCTTCAGCTTCGAGCTTCAAGGGATCAACCTAGCAGGCATGACGTAAGATGGGGTACAGATGTTATAGATAATGAGAATATGAATAAAAAGAAGACAAAAATATGCTGTATATACCATCCACAAGATGAGGATGAAGAAGGATGTACGTCTGACCATCAACACGAAGAACCACCAGAATCCTCATCCTCTTCATCATCAGAGTCTGAAAACGATAAAGATCTGGGTTTCGATGAGAGAAGGAAAAGAAGAGTAGAGAGGAGACGTCGCAAATTGAGGGACAATACAGATAGTGCACCTAATGCATACGAAGTGCAACCAGATTATTCTGAACATCGAAAGAAAATGATGGAAAAGAAGAGTAATAATACGTAACTATAGATACATCAAATCGATTATAAAAGCTTTACTTCAGAGATCAGTGGAAAACATAAAAATAGGTAAAAAAATAATTTGACGTAATTAATTTATTTATCTATATATTTTTAATTAAAAACATATTTAATGCTACAACGCTATGTCCAGTCTGATCAATGAACTGTAAGTTTCTCTTGGCATCTTATATTGAATCATACCAGCATAAACCATACAATTTCTGGCAACTTTTTTCAAGGATTCTATTTGTTGGGTCTTTGTTATTGATTGGAAAGTGCTTTCATTCAAATCTTGAATAATTTTAGAGATACATGTCATTGTCATCATCAATAGATTTGGAATATTCTTCACCAAATTTTTCTCCAAACTCATTAGGTTTTGTGCTTGTCTCCTTGCTTCAACTTCGTTAGTGAAAGGAATTAAGTCTAATTCTTCAATTTGGCTCAATGTATTTTGCCATTGCTGGGCTGTGTACGTCCTTCTAGCATCAGCAATTCTTAACAATAATAAACATGTTTCCTTGTTCTTGGTATGGACCTTCTTGGATATCTCTAAGTTATCTGTATAAATTTGCATCAATCTGTCTGCCATCAAAATATAATTAGTTTCTGGATTATCTGCAATTCCAAATAATGGCTGATCTAAATCAGTGCTACTCAATAGGTCACCCAATAAGTCGTTGACAATAGTAATCACTACATCAAATTCTTCAGATAATTGGTAAAGCAATAAACTATCGTTAACTCGGCCGTCCTCATCAGCTCTCAAGGCAGCTTGCTCGGTAATTTTATGCAAGAATTGTTTTTCATCCTTCAAATGCAACAACGGCTGTCTCTCTTCCAAAACACCAGGAATTCTAGTACCATCTCTATTAATTTTACCTAACAGAATTGTAAACTCCTTGGTTTCCAACACCAACTCTCTAATAGCCTCGTGACAGATAGATATTTGTTCTTCACTATCCGTCAAGCCTATTAAAATTAAATATTCGGCTGCAATTCTTGGATCAGAATGTTTGAATGATCTGATGTAATTCCCTAGTAGAGCAGCAAAGTTGATTTCACACTTGATACCGTTCATTACAACTATTTGGTTGGGTTGGCAGTTTATGGGAGTGCATGTTATATTTAGTAACCTAGAATTTGCCAACGCAATGGAAAAATGGATTCCATCAATTTCACTTATAGAATAAGCATGCTGAACTGCTAATTCATACATGCCACTTAACAACAAAACTTGTAAATAAAGGTTAGAAAATCTTGATTCTCCATATGATGAAATAATGTTTTGGAAATCCTCAAGAGTGTACCTTTCATAAACCGGATCATTGTCTGAAACATCGTTCTTAATCAACATAAAATGATACCATAACCAATCTTCTAAACTTAATGTTACAGCAGAGATATTCTTGCGGGAAAGATCACATCTACCTATCATTTTATAAACGGCTAATCTGAACGGATCACCATCCAATGAACTCTTAATATGTTGGTTATATTCAATATGTAATTTTGCAGCAAACTCGGCTGGAAGTTTACGATCGCTTGAAGTGATATAAGCTTTAAAATAAACCAGAAAAGATTGTTCAACCTTCTTAAAACTAGACTTGTTGTTATAAGCAACCTCTAATGCCTCCTGGGTCAAACCTGCCCTTAATAAAAAGAACATCAATGCCCAGATTGGAATCCCATTTACTATTGTTAGATTATTTAATACCCATGTGTTGTCTGATTTCTTTAGCTTATAATCAATAAATGACTTGACCTTGTTGATATTAGTTGGTAGGCCTTCATTTGGGTTTTTCTTATAAAGATCATCTATGTATTCCATAAATTGTTTCTCTAAATATAGTCTGCTTCTTATAACAACATCATCCACTTTAGAGGTACAAATATCTCTTAGAACATACCATGACTCCATAATCTGTCTATTCTTTGAGTCTCCAGAACTGTTCAACATTGATATGATTTCATTTACCAATGGGAAATCTCTTCTTACTTGTCTTGCATTGTTGAATGCATGAATAATTTTAGCGTATCTTTCAAATTTATCTCTCAATAGGTAATTCTCATTCACATTTAATCTAAATCCACTAGAGCTATCTAAGATACTGTTATTGTTCCCGCCCCATTTTGGAACAGCGGGTGTTACAGATCTGGATCCAGATTTATAAGAATCCATATTCTTTCTTTTAACTAAGATACCAAAGTTTTCTCTAACCTCATCTTTATGTTGTTCCCAATCTAAGTTCAAGTTTTGGCTAACAAATGAATCAAAATCCTTTGAAGCTGTTGATAGAAGTTTCTCTATAGATGATATAATATTTTCATCTTTCTTAAGTCTCAAATAGTTATCTAATTCACCTTCTAATTGCTTATTGGGAACATGATGTTCTATTATATGTATAGATTGTAAGCTCTTGATTGAATTATCTACATCTTCAACAGAGATGCCACTACCGGCCAATAAATAATGAGCCTTGGTATGGTCGATTTGTTTCGCTTCTTTATCTTTTCTCAAACCAGAGGCTCTTTTCCTGATTTCATTAATGCTCAACTGAATGGATTCAAACTCAGAACTATCGTTAGGCAAATTTTTAGAAGTTTCAACTAAATCATTGAGGACTTTTGAGGAGCTGTTTGTATAATCTTTGTCCTTTAACCTGTCGAATGCATGATCATTATTCGTCGTAAAACTCATCTTTTAGGAAACTCAAAAAAGACAACTAATTCTGATGGTCTACAAAACTTCTCAAAATAGATAATCAATTTTCGAGTATCTATATATATTGATATTTCACCAATAACAGATATTATCAATTCCTTTAAACTTGACTATATAAGTAAACAGTTCTCTTCTTTATCTGCTTTAATTTATTTGCCCATACTGTTTTATTTTTGAAATTTTATCAAATTTAATCGCTGCTTAAAAAAAGGTTGAAAATTTTTTAAAAACATCAAGAATAGGTAACCTTTGCCATTAACAGAATCGAATTCTGAATAATGATCTCTCTGTAGTACTACGAAGACCTACAAAGATATCTAAACTCTTCTTTATAACCCAAGTTTAGAATAATTATGCTTCTTTTCCTTTTAAGAATAAACAATAGAATTGAGAGGGCAAGGAAATGAATATATTAAACTTTTAGATATATTTGTATACATATGGAAGAAAAGGATGGATGAATGATTTTATACTGCCACAGAAAGAAATAATCATTAAATAGATAACAGAAGTATCCGTAGTTTTCAAGATCATTGGTTAACATACAGATCGATATATTTATCGACATCCATGTTTAGGAAATCTTTGTCTTTAGTAACTTCTAAGATTTTGTTGACATGATCTTTGTTATTTTCAAAATGTTCACTCAAGTGTCTCTCGAACTTTTTCATTAATAATGGGATACCTTCGTCTCTTCTAAATCTGTGACCGACAGGATATTCAACTTCTACCTCATCTAAGACAGTACCATCGTTTAGCTCTACCAACAATGCATTACCAATAGATCTCTTCTCTGGGTCATGGTAATCTTGAGTAAAGTTTTCATCCTCTACACAATACATCTTAGCTCTTAGCTCATCGATTGCTGGGTTTTCGGCAATCCCGTCAGAGTAATCATCAGCTGTTAATCTGCCATGGATCAGAGGAATAGCAACCATATATTGAATACAATGATCTCTATCAGCATAATTGTATAATGGGCCACTTTTGTCGATTATTCTGACGGCTGCATTTTGGGTTCTAATTCTAACCGATTTAATGTCAGCGTAAGTTTTACCCATGTCTTTCAACTGTTGATGAACCTTCATAGAGGCCTCCACGGCTGTTTGAGCATGAAATTCGGCTGGGAAGGAAATTTTGAACAGAATATTTTCCATAACATACGAATCATAGAATGATCTCTGGTTAAAGACGAATGGCTTACCTTTGAATAAAACGTCATAGAAACCCCAGGTTTTCGCAGTTAAGACAGATGGGATATTACCTACATTTGCATTTTTAACCAAATAAGCGATATTGACAGCTCTGGAGACAGCATCACCAGCAGCCCATGACTTTCTTGAACCAGTGTTTGGGGCATGACGATAAGTTCTTAAAGATTGGCCGTCTACAAATGCTTGAGAGATAGCTTCTTCACATTGATCTTTAGTCAAACCTAGCATTTTTGCAACAACTGCAGTTGTTGCAACTTTAACCAAAATGACATGATCCAAACCAACTTTATTAAAGGAATTATCCAAAGCAATGACACCTTGTATTTCATGAGCTTTGATCATACATTCTAAAACGTCATTGATAGTGAATAAACGACCTTCTTCGCCATCTGACGATTTATATAATCTAGTTAGATAATCAGCGACAGAGATGATACCACCCAAATTATCAGAAGGATGGCCCCATTCAGCAGCAAGCCAACAGTCATTGTAATCTAACCAACGAATTAAAGAACCATTTGCAAAAGCACCTCTTACAGGATCGTAAATTAGATTTGTACCAATAACCCTTGTACCATTTGGTACAATAGTTCCTGGGACAATTGGTTTAATAATTTTAACTGCTTGATCGAATTTTAAAGCAGCTAAACCACAACCTAAAGCATCGATAAAGCATAATTTTGCAGTTTCAAATGCCAAAGATGAATTGATTTTTTTATCCATAACATAATCTGATATTTCACTGATTACAGTATCAGTTTTCGGTCTTTCATTAGAACTATTGATAGGAGAAGAGCTTGACATTGTGTGTTTAAATATGATATTTGAAACAGTTCTTTGATTCTTTGAGATCTTACTTAAAACGTTAATTCTTGTCTTCAATAAGTCAATCATGACTTTTCAGATATAATAATAGTAATAATAAAATTAAATGAAATACAATCAATCTATCAGTCAAACCACTATAAGAAGAAGTAGTAGTAGTAGTAGTAGTAGTAGTAGTGTTATATGATGATAAGCTTATTGCCAATTTCTTACGTTACCACTTCAAAGGACAAAAAGAGAAAAGTAAAATAGCAAGATATAAATCCCGGCTATTAAAATTCCCTTAACTATATAGAATCATACATACCATCACTATAACTAATATTATAATGACAAGATCAAATCATAAGAAGAGTTATCCCTTTTATATAAACTTGAAGAATTTGGTGGATTACTCTTCCATCAATCACAATCCTCTACAATCAATCATTTACTTGCTTTTTTCGATTGATACAAAAAGAAGAAGAAGTAGTAGTCAGTCAATGACCTTTCTCAATTATTCATATGTTCATTCATTTTATTTCATATATTCATTTTATTTATCGTCGTCACAAGAGAAACACCGATTTCGATTTCCTTTTTCCGTTTAAGATTAATTTAATAGGATGAGCTACCGTCATCATCTATCTATATCTATCTATCTACCTATCTCACCTTATTTTACTTGTGGAACGGAATAACCATTAAAACTAGACATCATTACAGTATCTAACCGATGATTTTATTGAACTGAGCCTATATGGAGGTTACATAGTTAATAATGTCGATTAACAAGATTACAGCATGGGGCTAAAAAGAGTAAAAATAATATCAAGAGTGTCATCCATCTTAAAGGTAAGAAACTTGCTTGCATATCCACACCCCCTTCCACCCTCGTTCTCTATCATCTAGTTGAGGTTGAGGTTGATGAGAAGGTAGATACAGAGACAGAGACAGTCAAAAGGCAAGGTTTGTATTTAATAATCTAGTCATGATCTTTCCTCATTCTTCCTATAAGAACCGATCTCATAATATATTTATTATAATATCCATTTAATATGTGTTTGTTCTTACCAACGAAACGATTAAGACATATGGCTTACTACCTAAAACCCCAGAGGGTAGACTGGCTGTTTGTCTATATTGCTTAGAAGAATGTATGCCTTATTCATTAAGTTAAAGGCTTGATAATGATGCACAAGGAGATTGTTTTGTTCCTTTAAACCGGTTGATTTGTAAAATACACATATCTACAATAATATAGTTCACTTTATTATTATAGACGACCATATATGATAATTGTCACTAAAATCAAGGTTTTGATATGGAGTTAGAGCTAGATTTATCTTTGTAAATTTTTTCCTTCTCTTTTGAAGAACCAAAATGAAGTTACAATTTTATGTTTAGTTGAGTTAAAGTTAGTGATAGCAATCAAAAAAATAAATCTTAATCTCTATTAACATGACTTAAAATGAAACTAATTTTAAAAAGCAATAATATATATATATTTATACAAATATATATGTACTGTTTACCATTTTTATACAGTTCACCTTATGTAGTTGGACAAATTATACTAGATAATATTGTTCAAAAAAATAAGAGAAAGGAAAACTATACAGAGGAAGTCTTCTTGCAAATATTTTTGATTTGTTGAATATCTAAACTTTTTGGTCTTTCAATTGGTAGACCATAAATACGATCCCATACTAGCTGAGTCAATGGACCCATTGATCTTGAGCAACCAAATATAACTGTAAAAAATAATAGTTCTTTTAATCCATAATGATAAAATAAGATACCCGATGCTGAATCAACGTTTGGGAATGGATTTTTAGTCTTGCCATGCTCTAATAATACTTTTGGAGTTATATCAGACAAGTTTTTCATTAGTGTTACATTTGGATCATTTGAAAATTCTGTTGGTCTTGCCTTTACAAAATCAAGCATTGCTGTGAATCTTGGATCAGGTCTTCTCAATACTGCATGTCCATAGCCTGGAATAACTTTATTAGAATTCAATGTTTTCCATAGATATTCTTCAATTTCTGCTTCGTTGTTTGGAGATGATATCTCTTTATTCATTTGAATTAAAAATCTAACTACTTCTTGTGCTGCTAACCCATGAAGTGGCCCAGCTAAACCCATTATACCAGAAGAATAACTTAAATATGGATCTGACAAAGCACTCCCAACTAAATGTGTAGTATGTGCCGAGACATTACCTCCTTCATGATCAACATGAATACCGGTGTAAAGTCTCATTAAATTTATGAAATCATTTGATTGAGAATCATTGAAATTACAGGTATTTAAGGAATCATTACTATTTGTCATACCTAATAATGAGCAGATGTTATAACTCCAATCTTTATTTTCATTAAATTTACCCAAAGGTTCTCCATTATTCGTTATATTGGAGTAAATTTTACCAGTTAACTGAGGTAAAGCTGCGATCAAGTTTAAAACATCTTCAAAAATGTACTCCCAAAAGTCATTTTTACCAATAGATCCTTCTTGATATTTTTCCCCAAAGATAGAGCTTTTATTCATGGATGCCAATCCAATAGCTAATTGTGTCATTGGATGCATATTTTTTGGGAGGTCATTCATGATTTTGATTGTATATTCTGGCAACTTAGTACCTCTTGTTGCCAATTCTTTAGATAAATTATCAGCTTGTTGTTGAGTCGGAATTTCACCGGTCATTAGTAACCATAGGATGGACTCTGGAAGAAAGTTTTCCTTTTTTCCCTTATTGCTGACACTTGGTAATAAATCTTGACATTCTTGGATAGTATAACCTTGAAATTTAATTCCTGTTTCTGGGTCCAAGGATGTACTTTGCCATAATAAGGATCGGTTACCTCTCATACCACCAATTATAGAACCAATGGTGATATCATCAACCTTGAGATTTTGATAATTTTTTCTAATCTCCAACAATTCTGCCCTTCTCTTAGGAATCAAATTTACCATTGTAGACTTCAAATCAAGGCTTTGAATTCTTAGCAATTTTGATTCATTAAATTTTAAAATTCTTGTTGGCCTTATCATTGTATGTTAGATATTTCTATTTAAGATATGTTTTGAATTTAATCCCTTTACTCTTCTTGTTTCTTATGAGCTTCTTTATAAAACCAAGTTTAGGAGATCAATAATATTTCTATAATAAATACCAAGGAATATAACAGACTGTTTATTGCTATCTACTTCTGAACATAAAACTAACAATCTTATCAAATATTACAAATGCTATTGTCTTAAATAATGATAATTCTAGTTCATAAAAGAACCTTTATAAAAATTTAATGAATGACCTCAATGATTAAAATAAAGGTCCAAGTAGAGAGACATACAGACTTGCGAAATATAATAATCTAATTACAGATATTTTTGAAACTCCAGTTTTAAGGAAAAGGATTCCCATTTTTACAAACTATTGATTACACTTGTGAATTGAATAATCGTTTCTATCGACCAACACTTTAACTGTAATACTAAAAATATAATCTCAAAATGGCTAAAACTATATTCTACGTTAATTAAATTATTATTGGTCAGCTTTATCATCATCTAATTCAGATTAAATCCTTTCGATGATAATATTCCATCCATTACCCCATTCTTCCCTTTAGATGATGACTATTTGATTTGTTATTCTTAATGACAACATTATACATGTGCCAACCTAAGTTACTGTTATTGTTGTAATCGTTATGCTCCTTTATTAATGATAATGAATGGCTTGCAAGAAGTTCTATCACAAATATATTCATGTGCTGTATGAGTTTTATCCATAGTTTTGATTCAAGTCATTTCTTATTCTAAGGTAATTCCTGAAAACTATGCAACTCTGGAATTGAAAAATAAAAGATCATGGGAGGAAGCGATGATGACTATCTCTAATCCTTCTTTAATGTTAAATTTTTTCTTTTTGTCTTTCACTCCCCACGATTTTATGCAAGAAGGAATCTAACTGAATTAGCAACTCTCTCTATATTTATCAATACTCGGTCAAATTTACTTCATATATTTAAACAAGAAGGGTTGGTTAGCTTTAACAGCCGATGGTTATTAGTTTTATAGGGAAAAGATAAGGTACATACCATCGTCACCATAATAAAGAAGCTTAGGCAGAGGACAGGAAAGATAAAATAAAGATATATTAACACTTGAACTCTGGTAATTGGTTTATATCTGTTACTTTTCTCTCAATAAACACAGATAGACCTGGTGTCTCCTTTTAATGAAAGTATTTTTTACATTTTTGGATTATATAAGCTCATTAAACGTAGTCTTTTAGTATTATTGTTCAAAATAACTTGAATTAGATTATTCGACCACTAGTGCTGTAAGCTCTGGTAACCTGTCTTCTAATTTAACTTCGAATATAGCGACATCTTTTCTAGTTCTTGAAATTGTATTATAATATTAAGTAACACCCAAACTTCTTCCAGAAATTTACATTTGTTATCTTTAATCTGAACTATATTTTATGCTCACTGTATCATGTTTGCTCCTTTTAGCGGAGGTTTAAATATATGCCATTCTTATTAATTGAAGTATATAATATATATAATATTGATACTAATATTTTATAACTACAATTTTAAATGTACGCATATCAATGGGCACCAAAATATGTATCTTTGGTGTGAATCTTAAAGATAATAGCAATATGAGAATATACAAAAATACAATTACTGCTTTACCGAATCAATTGCTATATTATAATCGATCACAAGAAGCTTATAGAATCTTGACCACCCTGGTTTAATAAACGCTCTTAAGAACCAACTTAGAAACTTGGTTCGGAAGTAAAATAAAAATCTAAATAATAATGAATTATATATTTAAATTGTAAAAGGTTATTGAAAATATATTAAAAAATATAAAAATTTATAAAATATATCACCTGATTAATTTTACTCCGAATTTTTCAAGTTGAGTTTACATATTTAAATGTGAAGGATTTTAGCCACAATATGGTTTATTAACTTATTAGTAGCATTCATTTCATTACTTAACTCTACATCAAATTAAATTTATATTATCTGAAGATCGAAGATATTGAATCCTATTTGTTGTTAATCAAGTAATTTATACTAGTTTTGTTGGTGTATAGAGACTACTTATAGGTATAATTTTAAGGGTATTTTGTAAGAGTTAGACCATTCAGAGTGCGATGAGTAAGTTTGGTTTAGCTGCATTTGATGAAGATAAAACCAGTAGATTTGAAGGCATTACAACCGGAACACTGGAAAAACAAAATGTCGAATTAAAGTATCAATTAGAGGTATTTCAGGATAAGTTAGTTGAATTTGCTAAATTTCACAATAATGAAATCAAGGCAAACCCTGAGTTTAGATCAAAATTTATACAAATGTGTTCATCAATTGGAATTGATGCTCTTTCACTCTTTGATAAAGACAAACATTTATTCAATATTAATGACTTTTATTATGAAATATGTGTTAAAGTGATAGAGATCTGTAGACAAACTAAGGATATGAATGGTGGTGTAATTTCCTTTGAAGAATTGGAGAAGGAATACTTTAAAGGTCGTAATGTTGGAAGGAATGATTTAGAAAAATCAATATTAATGATGAAAGACCTGAATGGTGGCTTTGAAACATTCGAAATACGGGGAAAGAAATTCTTAAGAAGTGTACCGAATGAATTAACTGGTGACCAAACTAAAATACTTGAAGTATGTTCAATATTAGGTTTCGCTAGTATGTCATTATTACAAGCAAATCTTAATTGGAAGCAAGTTAGAAGTAAGGCAATTTTGGAAGAGATGGTAGCTAATGGGTTATTATGGATTGATAACCAAGCTGGAAAGGAAATACTCTTTTGGGATCCATCCTGGATTGCCAAGGGTTCAGTATGAAATCATTATAACCAACTAAATCCCATTTCTGATTAAATTCAAGATGAATATAATAATTTAGTACATCTCCTATGGTAATAAATGAACATAATTTTATGCTTTTTAGTTTAATGGTTTTAAGATTTTTATTTATAAGAATCAGTTAAGTTGATAAGATTAAGAGATTCTGATCTTCATTAATGCCAACCAAATATCAGAGAAAGACGCAGGTATCTCAAATGATCTTCAACTGCATGCTCTGAACCTTCTAATTTGAATTTGGTATAGTCGTTACTGTTCATTAAATTCTGATAATAAATTAGATTTTAGAAATAGTGATCAATATTATAAAATACTGAAATACTTATTACAGACGATGTGAGGCTTGTAAAATGCACTTTCATTTTTTTCATCTACTGAGTGGATCAATACACATTATCCTAATCAAAGAAGGTTTAGAAGAGAATCCGTTGTAACTGATGCCACTTTAATTAAAGAGTAATTTTGGTGTCATCGGTTACCTGAATTTAGATAATTGTACCTTAATATAATCTTACGAAGAGTGTACTTTTGAATAAAAATAGAATACTAAAGCGGTTGTATTGGTTACTTGAGCATATTAGTGGAAATAAAAGATTGGAGAGAATAGTAATTTTAACTTTTTTGTCCTTTTCTGTTCGGAAAAATTCGAACAATTTGTTTTTGATCTTAGTCATATGTTGGCATTATCATATATCTATATATACATATCTATATGTATTTATCATCTAATTCTTCCTGGGACGAACTATCAATCGATGGTATAGTGCCAAGGGTCATAAAAGAAAAGAAGATAAAAATAGTACTAAATTTGAATTAAAATATATATGGCAGCTTCTTCACCCTCTTAGTTATCCTTTAAAAAACAATTTTGACATTAGAGAGATAATCAATGAAACACCAAAAAACTTGGACTAAAATAGCTAAAATTAAGATGTAAGAGGTAGATATTAATTTTCATTGAATCAGAATCAATTAACTTTGTCTCTATTTATCCTAATATGGATGTAAGATATTAGGTGATAAACTTTGGCTAATTTTTGGTTTTCCACGTACAAACAAATCTTATTAAAGAACACTGTCATAAGGATAGATGAACAAGAACAATATGCAAAAAAGAAAGGGAGCAGTGGTAAAAGAAAGTATCGGATTCGATTATTTAACTCTTCCCTATTGCCCCTCCACATTTTTACCAGTTACAATTATTTTTGATTATATATTTTTTATATTATCATTTCATCATAATGGGAGATTATTTAAACTAGCAAATTTAGCTTAGGCTAATCGAAACAGAAAGTTTCGCTGTCTTCAATTTTCCTTTCCGTATCCCCCCCCCCCCACAAAGAAACCTCTAATTCAATATTTCTTCCGTTAAATTCATGATGATTACAGAAAAAAGTGCAATTGTCTCGCGACATGTCCGTTTTAGGATAAAAGAATAGAACGGCAACAACACTCATTTTTTTATTTCGAGAAAAGAGAGATACGCATACTCATAGGCATACAAACGTAAGGTTTTCTTTTTTTATTTTTTATGTTTTTTTACTTACAATCCATTTCCTTTTTTCTTTTTGGGAGTCCAGTATTGAGTTTGGTGGAAACATGGAGGAGGAGGGCTTAAGGAACGACCATGGCATGGAACAAAAGAAATCCAATTGAAAGTAAAATAAAGTAGCAAGAGGAACAAACGTGAAAACACGATGCCATTACTATTTATTCCATAGCGAGAACTTTGGCTATTTTGTTATTACGAAGAGACAGACTTAGAAATGCTTAATGTCAACTTCAATTATTGACACCGAGTTACGTCGTTAATCGAGAAGTTAACCAAATAACAATTACCGGTGAATGGTATCGTAACAAAAGATGAATAGAAGAAGTTTGTTAATATTTTATTACAGTCACAGAGAGTTAGTTATCTGATTAAGTTGTTTTGATTGCGATGCGATGCGATGTGATGTGATGTATATGGTATGGTATGGTATGGTATGATATGATATGATATGATTGTGGTTGTGATTGTGATTGTGATTATATTTTTTTCTTCTTATTTTCAAAATAAGAAGAAAGACGTTGTTTCCGGCTTTCCCTTTTCCCTTTTCCCTTTTCCCTTTTTATAAATTGTTCCCAGAGAAAATAAAGCATAAATTCTGTGACTACCATAGAATATTTAGTTGAAGTTTTCCTGTTTTTCCTTAAACATGTGTGATGTGATGCTACCTACGACAATGCTTGGTGAACATCAACATGAGAAGGAAGAAATTAGCAAATAAAAAAAAATGAAAAAGAAAAAACAGAGAAAACAGAGAAAACAGAGAAATTGTTAATAAAAATAAGGGGCCGATTTAAAAAACCTTGGATTCGAACATGTGCTACGTTGTTTTGTTACTTTGTTTTGTGGGAACATAATTAAAGAAAAAGAGAAAGAGGGTGAATAATAAATAATAATACTGTTCTTCTTGTTCTTGTTCTTGTTCTTGTTCTTGTTCTGTCCGACAGGCTTTGTTGCTACAGTTCGAACTTAAGCTGGTTCGGTTCGGTTCGGTTCGGTACGGTACGGTATGGTATGGTATGGTTTGACTACGATTTCGATTTCGATTTCGAAAGCAACCAACTGCATCTGCTACTACCATTCTTCACCGAGATAATCAGAAAGACACGAAAGATGCTTGTAAAGGATAGTAAAAAGGTAGCCAAGATTAAGTGGGATGATGACGAATTTAGTCTAAACATCTTAAGTTAAGTTAAGTTAGTTTGTATATTGCCAATCTTAGCAATATAAACTACAGCTATATACTCTGAGGGCTCTGCCAGGTGGGTAGGTACGGTGAAAGAGGAAAAAAATGGTGGTGGTGATGATGATAATAATAATAATAATGAGAGTGAGCGGGGGAGGGCAGTGGGAGTGGGAGTGGGAGTGCGAGGGGGGGGGGAATAGAAGTTTGAAGTGAGAGTGTGAGAGAACATACATCGTCCCAAGGTCAAAGATAAGTAAAGAGAGAGCTGCATGAAGAAGCTAAAAGAGAAAGCATAAAAATAATTAACAACAACGACAACACAACACAACACAACAACAATATAATAAATAATTAAGAAGTTATGATGAGCTTAGTTGTATTGTTAGACACTGTAAAAAAAGATGCTTTTGCCACACTCATCTGTTGAATTACATACATTATTTATATTCTTCTTAAGGATGGTATGGAGAAGCCATACTCTTCTTTGTTTATATAGATAGGAAGACACACACTCACACTCTCTCTGTCTGTCTATTGCAGACAGTGTTGGTTTTTCACTACTCTCTAGTACAAGTCTTGTTAGTTGTTAGCTTTATTATCATATCATTATTATTATTTTACCATATTTCATTTCATTACAATTTACTTTATTTTACTTTGGGAGTGCTGTCTACATGATTAATACTGCCAAAAGATTAAGGAATTTTATTCAATTAATGTAAACAACTAATTTGCAATTATGATAGCCAAATTTCGGGTTTTTTCCCTTCTAACGCCTATCCTTGTTTGATTTGTCACTACATTCAATTTATTTGATTTTCAATTTTTTATATATAAACCTGGATAATTTATCTGATCATCTTCAAATTAACTCCCTACAATCAATTGAACGGTTTTAGTAGAATAATACTTTTTCCTTTCAATTCATATTTGTTGTTTAAAAACTTTTCACTTATTAGTAGATATTTTACAATATTTAAGATTGAATTTATAAACTAAACTCAATTTCCAATCTCTCGTATCACATATAGTTGACTTTTGCCTACCAAAAGGAAATATAGATATCGTGTCATTTTTTTTTAAAGAATTATTTTTATTGCAATTTGGAAATTTGGACATTCTGTTATTATTTCATTATCTATAGAAAGAATACTATAATAATTAATAAAAATTACGTCAATCCAATTCAAAGAAAAATAAAACAAAATTAAAAATTATCATATAATAAACTAGTTATACAATGAACAGAACTTATTCTTTAAGAAACCAAAGGGCACCAACTGCTGCTCAAATCCAATCTCCACCACCACCATCTGCTTCCACCAAGTCAAAATTCTTTGGTAAGAGCTCAATCGCTTCTACCTTTAGAAAGAGCACTGCTGGTAGTTTTGGCCCTGAATTGTCTAGAAAACTATCCCAAATGATTAAGATGGAAAAAGGTGTTTTGAAGGCTATGGAATTGGTTGCTTACGAACGTCGTGCTGCTGCCAGACAATTATCTGTTTGGGGTTATGACAACGACGATGATGTTTCCGATGTTACTGACAAATTAGGTGTCTTACTTTTCGAATTAGGTGAATTACAAGATCAATTCATTGATAAATATGACCAATACCGTGTAACTTTGAAATCTATTAGAGATATTGAAGCTTCTGTCCAACCATCAAGAGACCGTAAAGAAAAGATTACTGACCAAATTGCTAACCTGAAGTACAGAGATCCTCAATCTGGAAAGATCCCTGTCTTGGAGCAAGAGTTGGTTCGTGCCGAAGCAGAGTCATTGGTTGCAGAGGCTCAATTATCAAATATTACTAGAGAAAAATTGAAGGCTTCTTTCAATTACCAATTCGATGCTTTGAGAGAATTGGCTGAAAAGTTTGCCTTAATTGCTGGTTATGGTAAGGCTTTATTAGAATTATTAGACGACTCTCCAGTTACTCCAGGTGAATCAAGACCAGCTTATGATGGTTACGAAGCTTCAAAGCAAATTATTATGGATGCAGAAACTGCATTGGAAGCATGGACTTTAGATGTCGCTGTTGTTAAGCCAACTTTATCTTTCTATCAAACTGCTGACGATGTTTACGGTGAAATTGTTGACGATGAAAGCCATGAGCATGACATTGAAGAAGAAGGTCAAGAATGGGTCAGTGAAACCGAGGAACAAGAAGTCCATGAAGATCATGAAGAACATGAAGAACATGAGGTTGCTTCTAAATAAACAAAAAATAACATAAGTTGATTTTATGATATTATTTACCAATTAATTCCATCAGACGTTTTGTCATTCATTTTACCTTGTATTATCGATAATTAATTCTTTTATAATATAATTGTTACGGATATAATTTAATCCCATATTCTTGTAATCCGAATATTAGTTTCATTATGGATGTGATAGATACATAACTATTTACAAAAAATTTTATATTTATTTCTATCAAATGACTTTTTTCTTTCCCTACACTTCTACTCATCAATTAAATGATTTTTAGCCCTTTTTCTTGGAAAGTCTCTTAAATCAAGATGCTTAAAATATTTAACCATTGAATTACTAAATAATTTTTCTTTTCGTTAATTCATTTCTTAAAGATTCATACCAACCCTTTGCATAATCAATTCTATTAATGAACGAATTTTGGAGTGCTATTTTCTTTATTCTATCTCTGTATTGTTGTTTCTTAATAGATACTTCAGAGGTTGAGTTTGATGTTTCCGTCACTTTCGATTGTTTTTTTTTAAAGCTCCCAGGAATACAGCCTAGGAGTCTTAAACTTTTTCTAGTGTCTGCATCACTAATGAACCACACATTATCTGTATATCCAGTCTTAGGCCAGCTTAAATTATCCAATCTAGTTTTAATTCCAGCCATTTTTGAGTCAACTATCTCAACTTTACAATTAAACTCCGCAATAGAATTACTTTTCACGACCCAATAAGTCTTATACTTACCTAGGCCATTTACTTCTTTCAAGTCCTTCAGATATTGTAGTGTGTACATAAAATGTTTTGTGTATCCATTGTTAACTAATGACTTAAATAGCATTTCAAAGGTATTCGTATCAGGCAAAATACCAGACTGTTTCATATATTTATTATATGTCATTAGTGCAAGGTCAATTCTTCCTTTTGATGCAAATAATCTAATGAATCTGTTAATTACTGAAGCATTAATTTTAACGTTAGGTTTTCTACACATCGTAAAATTTAATAATTCCCAAGCGATTCCAACCTTATCCTCTTGAATCAATTTATTGACACATAGATCAAGTATTTTATAATTAATTGGAATGGAATTTTTCGTTAAGAAATTCAAAGATTCAGCACATGAGTAATTTCCACTTCTTAGAACTGAATATAAAAAATTTGTGTGAATTGGTATATTTCTAGCCTTCATTTGTTCAATAAATATATCTCTTGAAATATCATCTTGAAGGAAATTATAGCAAGTTGCCCAGGTGACATGATCAGCATCAACATTATTTTGTTTCATATTTTTTAAATAGAATAATACAGAGGATGAAGGTATATTACCATTTTGAATACTGGAATATTTTAATGCTATACGAAGCATTAAGTTATATGTCCTAGTATTTGGTGAAATTCCTTCAGACTTCATCTGTACGAATAATTCTCTACAGGTAGCAAAGTCAGACTTCCCACCAAAGAAATAAATAAGGTCATTAAATGTATTAGCAGACCTTAAATGTAGAGTTTTAACGTTTCCAGGATGCATCAAGTTCCTCAGTATTTTTGGTATTATACCATTAGTTTTCGAAGAATTCCTATATAAAAATTTAGTATGTGTTAAAAGACCAATATATGGAGCAAATTGTTGAGGGTATACTTCAAAATCTGGTATACGTGGGACTTCATCAAATGTGAAAGGTTTATATGCAAATTTTGTATGGTGATCCTCTACAATTGCCATTGATTTAGGTGTGCATTTTATTAATGATGCTATCATATCACTGACAAATCGTTTAGAGATTTTAAATACTGTGGCACTAGGATCTTCTTTCTGTTTCATTGCATTTAAATATGTCTTGAGAGACTGAATTTGAGAAACATTATAATCATTGTTAATATCATGTCTTTTCAAAGGCAATGCTGATAATGGCGATAGGTATTCTTGTATCATCTTCTTTTGGAAATTAGAATTGTGTCCTACTAAATTAATATTTTTACGAACATATTCATTTTTGGAACAATCCCTAGTAATGCAACTCTTTACTTCCCTAATTGAATGATCCTTAATACTGTTCGTGTTGGTAAAATATTCAGGTAAAACTAGCTCCTTCTTAAGTACATCAGATTTCAAAGTATTCTTTGCCAATGCATTTCCAACTCTATTTAGCACGTTCATACATAAGAATTTTATTTGTAAAACCCAATATATATAAATATATATCAATATCTATGTATATGAGAGGGCTAAGCTTAACGAAATATAATCACTTCTGGTAGAAATTAGCCAAATTTCTGTTTATCAGATATAGTATCCAATATTTTTTATAATTATCAAATCTCAACATCAATATACCTTTTCTTGAAATTTCGCTTTTAAAATTTAATAGCAATATTTCATTGCATGGAAAAGCAATAATTTAATATGATCTGAAACTTAAAAGATAGATGGGGTAGATGAAGTGAGAAAAGCTATGGCAATGGAATAATAAGTTTTGAATATATGTATTTAATGATATACATGATTATAATCATTTAATTAATGGTAAAAGTTACCGTGAGGAAACTGTATTTTCATTGGCAAGATTATCTATATATGCGGTGCCACCAATCATTGATAATAATACTGGCAAAAATATTAATGCATGTATAGCGGCTACAAAAATCAATGCTAGCCACATTCTGAAATAGAACACTTGAAATATTTGTGATTGTGCAAATGCTAAGATCGATACACCTATCAATTTGGTTATTGTTATTCCTGTGAATACAGACTTCCCAACAGTTAGCATTGCGTGTCTGATACGAGAATCTCTATCGTTCTTGATACCTTTTGGTATCATAGTAAATGCTCGTGTAATATGAATACAAAATTCGACGGATAAACCAACACATATTACCAAGTTAACTAACGATACTGCGTTCAAATCAATTTTAAAAAGCTTCATCAGTCCCCCAATATCAATTAAAATCATAATAATTGTTAAAGACAGTGCAGCAGCAGTAGATAAAGATCCAAATAAAAGTGTTGATGTTATAAACACGAATAGTATTGCACTACTCAATAATTTAAGCGTCAATTCAATCATGCCTTTGTATTGGGCAAAGTAAATATAAATAGGCGAGTATGCAAATACGTCCAAATTATCAAATGACGATGCAACTCTGTCAGCATCGATATAAGCATCAATAAAATCTTGTTGGTTGGTCAATGGTTTATGGGCACTTCTAAAAACAGAAGATATTATCGTGCTATCATTATAAGATACGGCATGAGAATATGGAGCTTTACCACCCAATGGACAAGGATCACTTGGAGACTCAATCCAAATCTTAAAATATTTCATAAAATCATTTCCTTCTGGGAATCCCGTCATATCATAATCCCAATCTTTATCTTTGAAGCAAGTTTCACATAGTCTTGGAGAGAATTCTGGAGGACAAGTTTCTGTAGTTCCTTTTTTTACTCTGCAACAGGTGTCCAGTTCAGGATTTAAAAACGTCATAAAATCATCGTACCAATTTGCCAAAGGTTCAGTTATGGTAGACCTCTCCCTTTCCATTTCAAATACATTAGCCAAAGAGTTCTTGTTGCAAGTGGTGAATTTGCCGCATAATTCTTTCTGATTTTCTTTTTTGGTCAAATCTAAGTCCTTAACAACAAAATAAACTGGCGGACCAACCTTTAAATATTCATATACATCATTGAAATAGTCAATAAGATATGAATCCTGAGGAATAGCCATTTTCTGGTCCAATCCAAGTTTTATCATCGGTATAAATACCAAAGAGAGTAAACTCCATGAGGCAAAAACACCCAATAATTTTCTCTTTTTTGAAATCAAGTTGAAGTATCCATTGAAAATTCTACTATTCGATTGATCATCAACTTCATCCGGTAAAGATGTTACACCGTATTTCTTTTCATAAAGTGAAAGAATTGAAATATATGTAGTCAATTGTAGTACAAAGTTGCACAATAATGCCACTGCTGAATACAATGCAAAATTATGAACAGCTGGCATACTGACCACCGAAGCAATAAAAAAACAACCACATTGAGCCACCATTGAAATAAAAATTGATGGGGCAATCCTTTGAACTGCTAATATTATCCTTTGATCAATAGTGTATTTTTTATAAACTGCCGAAACCCTATCAAATTCGTTAGTTATTAAGAATATATTATCGATACCAATTGCTAATATTAAGAATGGAATGACTTCTGCAATAATCAAGGTAGATTTTATCGAGAAGAAACTCAATATACCCGAAGCACAAATCAACGATGATAGAATTATCAAAATACCTGTCAAACCCAATAGAAGTCTATTTTCACCCCATTTTCTCTTTAGCGCCCAAGAAGCATAAAAAAACATCATAAAGTAAGAGATGCATATAATTAATATGTCATTATTACCTTTCAACTCTCTTTCTATAGAAATTTCAGTATTGAAACTTAATCTCAGACCTTCTGGAACTGTTATATTCAATAGGTAGGTTTCTAACTTTTCTTCCCATAAATTGGCCGATTGAGTATGATTATCTAATAATAATGTCACTACAAAGGCATTAGAATTAAGGACATCATCACTGCTGAATAACATGTTTTTTTTTAATGGCTGCTGGAAATCCGGTAAACACATAACTGGAGTATCAGAACAAGTTTGTAATTCATATTCCCAGGTGGATTCATCAGGAAGAATACCATGAAAGTATTGAGAATATGATTCAATGACACACGCATCCCCATTAGGCTTAAAACATATATCTTGGAAAGAGATTTTTTCGTCACTAATTAAATTGTTAGTAATATGATGCTCAACCTCAAACCACCATTTCATTGTATCATATGACATTACTGGCCCTGTCTCATTCACAACAAATATTTGTTCTGTTCTATAAAATGGCCCAAAATGCTCATCATAATATTGTTTTTCTTGGAATACATTTGAATTTTCATTTACCCATAAATTTATTGGATTAGTCTCCAGCTCACCATAATTAAATAATAGGAAAGTTGATACTATCAC